TGGAGCACTCACACTGAAGTCCATTGGCCAAAGAGGATGCTGCCACTTACTGCACGAAGTACAGTGGAGACTTCGCATATTCAACGGACAGCCCAGCGGATTGCGGTTCCTTCTGCTCGGTGACGCAGTCAACTTCCAGGAGATCCGTTTATCGCTATGCATCCTGTCACGCGTACTGCTGCGATCGTGATTCCCGTCGCCTCGCCTTCATGCCTTTGAAGGTTTTCCAGAGCAGCCGCGTGTCCTCACTGACGTATCCAAGCTGACGACATAGCAACTCCACGATTGCTGTTGCTGCGCCCACCCGAGCGGCTCTTTCTCTTTTGCAGGGTTTCTTGACGTTCCTCAGGGTTTTCTTGCCGAGCACCACCACGGAACATAGTCACCGCGAGCCTAGCGCCAAGAAGAGCTGCTGTCCCAACCCCATGCGGTCGGGCTGCCGTCCCGAAGTTGAGCAGCCCCATCGGCCAAGCATTCTGTGAGCCCCCGCCAAGTTGCTGTTCAGCCGGTCATCGCCCCGCCGTCTTCGACGCCCGTGAGCCACCGTGTCGTCGCCACCACCGCCGTCTCGATCCGCAAAGCCCGATCCCGATCCACAATTCGAATTTGGGAATTATCTGCAATTAGGTAATTCAACATTATCCGATATTTTCAGAATATTTAATTTCCTAATATGGGTGTTTGAATATTTCGTGAATATCATGTGGATATCTAGATATCTTAGGATAATATTTTCGATATCCACAATATTCGAAAACACCCAAAATTAGGAATCATTCCTAATTTGGCAACGTATCTGGACGACTATCCGACCTTATCCCTAAGGTACGATACGCGGCGATACGGAAAATCGTTATCTTATCCATAACCACTTGGGTACGATAATGATTTTTATCCGCTTTCCAAATTTGAATAATCGGCTTTCCGTCGATATCTATAACCCTATAGATATGACCGATAGTTTGATTTTTGTGCCTAATCCGAGTTTGAAACAAATATGGCGGATCCCGTGGACGTTTTGAATGTGGTTGCTATCCTTGTTTATTTAATTGCTTTCCTTTTTCAAATAAACAGAAAATTCAAAAAAAAAATATTAGATAGATTTGAATTAGAGTTTTCACATGTCTAGGAATCCTAAATATATCTAGAAGATAGAGTAGTTGTTTAATTTAAATTAGGACTTGAGATGATCTATTTCCTAGTTTAAATTAAGTAATATTCTAATCTTAATAGATTATTCAGGTTATTTTATTATTTCGAATTTCCATGAAAATCCCAAAAAAGAAGAATGAATTGTTTTAGGATAGATTAGGATAGATTGTATTCTTAATTTAAGTAATTCATTATTTCGAATTTTAACAAAAATCCTAAAAAGAAATCATGCTAGGGTAGATTAAGTCATCATAGCTTGCATGTTAATTTAGGCATTTTTATTATTCCGAATTTAAATTGTGAAAATACCAAAAATAATCATTCGTCCTGTCATTAGAAATAGGTCACGTCGTCGCACGACATATAGTTTGCATGCTAGGTTGCATTAATCGCATGTCATTGCATATAGGCTAGATTTCATTTAAATAAGTGAAAATCCAAAAAAGAAATTGAGTGAATTGCTTGTTAATTAGAAATCATATTAGGGTGTCAATGTGATTTTCTAGCTAACAATGCAGATGCTTACGTTGCTTCCAGGTAAGTAATTCTTCCAAACTTGCAATTTATTTAATGCTTTCTGAGTGTTAAATTGGTGGTTTGCGCACTCGCATGAACACCTCACATGTTAGTAACTAAGTTGAAATGGATCCAAACTGCCTGCCAAAATATTTTTGAAAAGAAAAGGTACCGAAAGGGCGTTAGACCAGATCTAGCGTAATCAAGTCCCCGGGCTTAGAATCTCTGGTTCGTAGGAATAAAACATATCTCCCTATGTTTTATTTAGGTTTCTAATCAACCTACCATAAATTGATTAGTGGCGACTCCGAGCATAAAAACTTTTGCATGTTAAAAACTTAAACTCAAAGTTGCGAATTGGTAGGGCTTGGGAGGGCCCGAGTTAAGATTAGTCTTAATAATCCATTAGCCCGAAAAATGAGGAATTTTTTTAGGGTCGCGACAGGTGAAAAGAATCCCCATCGAAGAATGAAATCGAACATGACCCTTTTTTCACTCTATAAGGATCAACACTAAATGAGCATGTCGACGTAAATTAGTTCTTGGCATCTCATAAATAGAAATAAGAGATACAAGAATTTATTCGTTTTAAGTTGAAACAAATCCTATTTATTCTTTTCAATGGTCTCTGCTTTATGAACCTTGCTCTTACACGAATCAACCCCAGCTTCCAACCCAACTAACGAAGATATCTTGGCGGCATTGCCCCATTTGGAATTTAGCACAATTCTTGCAAAGAAATAGCTCACTTGTTTCTCGATAAGAGATGGGAAATATGCTCAATATCATTGGATTAAATAATTGATCTAAATAAGATAGACATCCATCTTATAATAAGGAATATCAAACTCCTAGAAAGATGAAAGATCTGAAGCCAAGATCAATTGCTAGCTGGACTAAGTAAGCGGAATGATCGCACTCAAGAAACCAGTTTCTTTGCTAACATGGGCTTTACACAATCAGTCAAATCATATAGATATTCCTTCAATACAACAAAGGTTATCGAAAGGATCCCGAAGACTCACCAAAGCATGAAAACCGGGATCTTTCATAAAATTGATTTTTATTCAAATAGTGTATAACCCATGGATAAGCTCATATTAACTCGTCAATTTGGAATTCAGTTCGGCATTTTCCTTGGGATGTGTCGATGTAATTTGCTAATCTGTAGAGATTCGTAGGCGATGGTATGATATGAAATAATTTAGAATGATGTTACAACTAGACTAAAAGGAGACGGGAAGGCATTTTCAATTGAAGCACTTAAGACTTCGACCTTTGTTTTTGCAATTGGCTACACAACTACTTCTTTTTGGTAGGCCTCTACTTCACTGGGGTATGCCATTCTTCTTGAGAGTTCGGCTAGAAAGACTCCCTCTCCAAGATAGGCGTAGTTGGAATTGAGATCTCATTCAAGAAAAATATATCAAATATTTGGAGTTCTTTTTTAACATGTTTATATTCTATCAATGTTGGAAAGATTAAGACGAATAGTCAGCAGAGTCCACATTTAATAGAAGATGTGGCTCAAATCGATACATAAAGAATAATAATTGTATTTGCATTTCCAATAAGTATTCATGCTTATCCCAAGAAATGTATTCAGTCTTATTTAAAGATGAAATCCCCTAAGGTAATATGAAGAATTGGGGGGGTCTCCCATTGCGGACGTCGGCTTCCGAGGGTCCTCTCCTTGGTTGACCGAACCACGTTAAATCCTTTTCTCCTTCTTCGTATACGTGTGATTACAGAGAAGACATGGTATCAGAGGTAGGTTCAACTGTGATGCCTATGCTATTGAAGTCGCTATTTGCCGCTTCATTCTACTTCTGATTTAAATAAGCTTTTGACCATCTCTTTTCTTCTTGCTAAAATGACTAGTTCTTCAGTAGACCAAGGAGAGGCTTGGAAGCCTACGTCCACAATGGGCACCTCGGGGATTTCATAATTTTTAAATAAGATAGAATACATCTTTGGAGATAAACATGAATATCCATTGAAAATGAAAATACAATTGTTATTTCTTTCTTTATCGATTTGAGCTAAATCTCCCACTAAATTTAGATTTTATAGACTAGTCACTCTTAATCATACTAAGGTCACATGGAGTTTTTTTTTGGTCAAAAGGTCACATGGAGTTGGCTGACCATATATTGCGATATCTAAAGTCATGACTTGGACGTGGCATTCTTATAAAGAATCATGATCACACAGAGATTGAAGGTTATGCTGATTTATATTGGGTTGTAAATCCCACAGATAGAAGATCCATGATGGGGTTCTGCATCTTTGTAGGAGGAAATCTGGTCACTTGGAAGAGCAAAAAGCAAAGTGTGTTAGTTAGGTCAAGTGCAGAAGCTGAGTACATAGCCATGGCTTCAACCACGTGTGAATTAGTCTGGCTTCGTTTATTGTTGCGGGAATTGGGTCTTAATAAGCTTCAAACTCCTTCGAAATTGTTTTGCGATAATCAAGCAGGAATTCATAATGCTTCAAATTCGATCTTTCATGAAAGGACCAAGTATATAGAGGTCGACTGTCACTATACTCGTGAGAAAGTTTAAGACAAGATAATTGAGACTCCATACATAAGAAAATGAAGGTCAATTGGCTGACATATTTACTAAGACTTTTTCCACCAAAATTTTTCAGTGAGTGATGGCCAAGCTAGTCTCTAATGACATCTTTGCCCTAACTTGGAGGGGGAGTGTTAGAAAGATAACCGTGACTAGTCATTAGAGTTCAAATTAGTAGCATATTTGGCTCAAATCAATAAAAAATGAAATAAAGACCGTATTTGTCTTTCCAATAGATATTCATGTTTATTATGTAAATTTAATGAAATCCCCAAGGTGACATGAAGAATTAGGGATTTCCCTCGTGGACATAGGCTTCCAAGGGTCCTCTCCTTGATCGATTGAACCACGTTAAATCATTTTCTCCTTCTTCGTGTATGTATGTGATTACAGAGAAAACAATCAATATGATAAGAAACAGACAAATAAAGTAAAGAAGAATAACAAAACTATCAAGAAAATAGAAAGTATTAAAAAAGTGGCAACATCATCATATGATATATTCTACATATATTGACACACAAAATTTATAAAAAGCAAGGAAAAAGAAACTTATGAAATAAGTGTAATATTGATCTTACCAAACGGTCTATGCACTTTATATTATTTTTTTGTTCATTTTAATTTTTTGTTGCTGTTTCTCTGCTTCATCATCCACAGAGGATAGAAAGAAGAAGTTAGTTCCCACGATCCAACCAGTCAAGCTTGAGACTCAATACTGGGACTCACTCCTCTCCTTTTAATCCGTGAGTGACAACCACCTTCATCGCTCCTCGAAAGCTTCAACACCGATCGCAAGAAACGATTCGCTCGGCCGCTTCCCATGACGGCGACGGCAGAGATCTTCGTCGTCACCGGGCCGGGCCAGGGCCACCTCCACCCTTGCATGGAGCTCTGCCTCCACCTCACCCGCCGCAGCTACCTCACCACCCTCGTCATCCCCTCCCATCTCTCCTCCGCCATCCCTCCCTCCTTCGCCTCCAACCCCCTCGTCGCCGTCGCCCAGATCGCCGGCTCCTCCGGCCCTCCCATGCACGTCTCCGACCCGCTCAATCAGCCCGCCGGCCGGGATCTCTCGGCCCACCTGGAGAAACGGACGGCCGGTAGCGAGCCGCTGCGTGTGGTGTGCGCGGTCGTGGATTTCCAGGTGGGGTGGACCAGGGAAGTGTTCTGGAAGTTCGACGTCCCGGTGATCAGCTTCGTCACCTTCAGCGCCTGCGCAGCGGCCATGGAGCTAGGCGCGTGGAGGGCGCAGGCGGGCGACGTCCGTCCCGGCGAAGCTCGCTTGATTCCGGGGCTGCCCGAAGAAATGGCCATCGTGTATTCCGATCTTAAAAGGAAGCCCTTCGGTCCTCCTCGAGGCGGCCCGGCAGGTCCGGGACCGAGGCCAGGAGGTGGCGGAGGCGGGCCGCCGAAGCCTGGCGGCCGGCCGCCCTGGGTCCCGGAGGTCGAGGGCTCGATCGGGCTCATGTTCAACTCGTGCGCCGACCTGGAGCGGCCTTTCCTCGACTACATGGGGGACCAGATGAAGATGCCGGCCTGGGGCGTCGGCCCGCTCCTGCCCGAGCAGTACTGGAAGACGTCCGGTGACTCGCTGATCTCGGACCGCGCGATCCGGCAGCACAGTCGCGAGTCGAACTGCACGGAGGACGAGGTGATCCAGTGGCTGGACAGCAAGCCGCCGCACTCGGTCCTGTACGTGGCGTTCGGCAGCGAGGTGGGCCCGGACGAGGAGGAGCTGGCGCAACTGGCCGCGGCGCTGGAGGAGTCGACCCGGGCCTTCATATGGGTCATCGGGTCCAAGTCCGGAGGGCACTTCTCGGACGGCATGGAGAGCAGGGTTGGGGACAGGGGCCTGATCATAAGAGGGTGGGCGCCGCAGCTCCTGATCCTTAGCCACCCGTCGACGGGCGGGTTCCTGTCGCACTGCGGGTGGAACTCGACGGCGGAGGCAATCGGGCGTGGGGTCCCGCTGCTGGCATGGCCGATCCGGGGCGATCAGCACTACAATGCCAAGCTGGTGGTGAGCCATCTCAAGATTGGGTACAGAGTGGCCGAGGATCTGTCGCGGGTGGTGAAGAAGGACGAGATAGCGAAGGGGATCGAGAGCCTCATGTCCGATGAGGAGATGCACGAGAGAGCAGCTTCGATCAAGGCCAAGTTCGGGCATGGTTTCCCGGCGAGCTCGGAGAGTGCATTCGATGCTTTTAGAGATTTTATTAACCAGAGGCTTTGAACGAGTTCTGTTGTAATTGGATCTTTTGGCCATGTAACCATGAAATTTCACCTTAGTTCTGCTTGCAAAATTTCCCATCTCTACTGAATTTTCATTGGGACAGTTCACATGTGGCCTCTAGTGCATGAATATGGTGAGCCGTTTCATGAATAAACCAGAGAGGCTATCCCCTGTTGAAATGGATACATGTGTTCAGGTTGCCTAATGAATTCACTGGTTCATGCCAAGTGAGTTGCTCCATGGCAAATTTGTGAGAGTTTGAAGAGCTGACAAAAGAAAGAAGACAAATTGCTTTATGCTAAAGAGTTTTGGTTTCAATCTCGCTCCTCTGTCAATGAAAAGAAGCGAGGATAAAGATGGGAAGATATTGCCGTTGCTTTCGGTTTCGCAGAGACGGGGAGCATAATCCAACAGCAAACGTGGGGACGTCTTTTCGATCCGTGGCGTCAGTCATGACGTTGGATCCAACTGACTTTATGTGTCTGTAATGGACAACAACACATCAATGTCTTTCGGCGCGTCTAGACATTTCCTCTCGAAAGGGCCAACCCCCTAAAGTAAAGAAAGAGTAAGCATCACAGTCGATATTCGGACTAAGTAGAGTTTGCGTAGTGTTTACATCGGCTATGGACTTATTTGCGTTCAGCGGTCACTTTTATCAAAAAGAAAAACAGTTCCTGGTCGCTCTTAAGAGATTTGCCGACCATGAGGCAAGCCATTGACTATGGTGTCACTGAAGATTGTACTTGATTTCGCATAGGGAGAGAATAATGACCTGCAGATTTCGCGTCGGCAATGAGATGCAGGGGGACGAGAACTGAACCCGAAATCCGATCTCGGTGGAGTTTAGATCGTAACCAAGTGACAGAAAACAGAAGCGTGAGAGGCTCTGAAACAGCGAAACCACGAATACACGCGCGCACGCGCGCGCGCGCACAGACAGAGACCGAGACTGTGTGGTACTTCCTCCATTCAAACACCCCACTTCACAACAATCATCCATCTTGAACATCCGATCGTGGTCGCCACCTAACAGTCCAAGTTTGTTCTCTCTCTCTCTCTCTCTCTTTGTGAATTATGATCAGTCTACAAATGCTTAGCCTACGAAATCTTCCTTCTCTTTGACATCCTTAACCAGCAAATACATCAAAGAAGTTCGTGTCAGTCGCTCCCAAAAAAGATTTGTGACGACAAAGGCATGTCGGCTGAGAACGAGATCCTGGTGGTGCCCAAGATCGGGCAAGGCCATCTCTTCCCTTGCATCGAGCTCTGCAAGCACCTCCTCCGCCGTGATTTCCGCATTACCGTGGTCGCCGCCTCCGACATCTCCTCCTCCATCCCCTCCACTCTCCAACAATCCCATCTCTTTGCTCTGATCAACATCTCACCACCACAAGACACGCCACCTGACCCGCCTGCTAGCTTCCCTCGCCAGCACCAACAGATGGCCCAGGGCATCGAATCATTCCTTGCTGCGCGTGACCCAGCTCGAGCCCGGCCTGTTTGCGCGGTGATCGACCACATCATGTACAAGACACAGGAGGTGTTCTCCAAGCTTGGGATCCCCACGGTGACTTTCATTACTTCCGGGGCGTGCTGGGCCGCGGTGCAGCATGCGGCGTACGTGGTCCGGCCCGACGACATGAAGCCGGGGGAGGTTCGTGCCTTACCGGGCTTGCCCAATGAGATGGTGCTGAGTTATTCGGATCTTAAACAGAGGCGCCACTGGATGCCCTCGAATCGGGGAGGAGGAGGGGGAGGTGGAGGGAGGGACCCGGGAGGGTCAAGGCCGCAGATGGGCCCGCCTCGTCCGGGTCAGCCAGCCCCGTGGGTGGAAGAAGTGAAGAGCTCGGTAGCGTTACTAATCAACACGTGCGATGATCTCGAGCGCCCGTTCCTAGACTACATGGCCAATCTGACGGGCAAGCCCGTCTGGGGCGTGGGCCCGCTCCTGCCGGAGGAATACTGGAGGTCCGCAGCGTCCTTGCTTCAGGGGCGGGAGATCCGGCCCAAGAGAGAGTCCAACTACTCGGACGACGAGATAATCGGGTGGCTCGACCGGCAACCTCGAGGCTCCGTCATGTACATATCGTTCGGCAGCGAGGTGGGCCCCTCGACGGAGGAGTACCCGGAGCTAGCCAAGGCGCTGGAGGAGTCGAACCGGCCATTCATATGGGTGATCCAGAAGAAGTCAGGCCGGCCTGGTCCGCCGGGCGGAGGGCCAGCCCAAATGGAAAGCAGCTACTTTCCACATGGTTTGGACGACACAGTGGGGGGGGATAGGGGGCTGATCATACACGGGTGGGCGCCGCAGCTGCTGATACTGAGCCACCCATCAACCGGTGGGTTCGTGTCCCACTGCGGGTGGAACTCCACGGTGGAGGCAATAGCGAGAGGAGTCCCGATTTTGGCATGGCCAATCAGGGGCGACCAATACTACAATGCCAAGCTGGTGGTGAATCATCTCAAGATAGGGGCTTTGGTGTGTGATGGATACCCAGCTGAGATGGTGAAGAAGGACGATGTTTTGAAGGGAATCGAGCGGGTCTTGACCGCCGAAGAGATTACTAGGAGATCGATGGGTCTTGGAGAGAGGTTTGAGAAGGGCTTTCCTGAGAGCTCAGTGAGTTCAATGGATGCTTTCAGAGACTTTGTCAACCGAAAAACAGAGTAGGCACTGTGTGCTTTGTGGTTGCCTACTTGTATGGAGAAGGAAGTTCGAAGCTAGAACAATAAAACGAGCATCACTTTCTACCATTTTTTCGTTATAGATGTGTTCAGGGGTCATATAGCATTTGATCCTTCAATCCCTATTTTTCCAAAGCTATTACTGATTCGACATTAGATTCCCGAGGCTATTAATCTCTTCTTCCAAGACTAGAGTAATACAGAGCCGACAACCATTTCACAGGCAAGTATCTGCAGACGCTTTTGGAGATCAAAGATATACTACCAACATTCGTCATTAGTCTCAGCATGTACCAAACCCACAGATTCTGTACATAGGAAGAAAGTTTATGAGAAGACAAATGAATTGTGCCATTGTAATTGAGAAGGTCAAGCATAAGATAAGGATAATCATTCTTTTTGTCCCTCCACACAGAAAGTAATTCTACTACGAATAAGAAAAATGAGACGGTAATCAGTATGCTCTGCCGGAATGAATAATGTGCATTCGAAACCTGGATGGGTCATGATGATTCCGCATCCAGATTGGGAACAATTGCAGATGAAAGTTCTATATGAGAGACACGAACTGCTCCGATCAGCCGTTCCGGCAACTCATCAGCAGTGTTAGCCTGCACCATGCATTACACAAAATGAAGCATTAGATTCCTTTTTCCTTTAATATTGAGCAGAGCATGAAGCGTTAGATGTCCCAAAATCAAGCCTGCCAGAGCCTGCACCTCGAGCCAATAAGAAAAGACATTTGATAGATAATGCCTCCAAAACAGAATTTACAGACAATGAGGCATTCTTTTCCAATCTTAAGACATCCTACATACCCTCATGATCTGACAAGAAGCAATAGAAAATAATAAGACATATTATGCTTATCGTGGTCAAAAACTTATTGGCTATGTGTTTATTTCTAACTTCCATCTAAGTCCCCCGAGTGCATCGTGAATTAGCCTTTGAGCTTCGTGCAGTTAATAGAGAGGTTCTAGCTCTGGTATCCCTTTTTCAGCTGTTCGCAACATGCCATTTTCCTGAGTTCTGAATAATATATCATTGCCGTCCTTTGTTGAGTATATTCAAGAGAATCCCAAAACGCAGCAAAGAAAAGCCAAACAGGAAAAACCCCAGACAGATGTTGAGATGGAGACTCGGGTTAGACAGAATAAGGAAAGGCCTAAATGGACTTGGGAGAAAACAACATGAAAAGAGATGGAGCATCTAGAGCTTAAAAAGATTCATGTACCAACCCCACCTTGTGGGAAAGGCTTAGTTTTTGTTAGTTGTTGTTGTTGTCTTTCTTTTTAGGTGGCTTTATAATTCTCATTCTGTCAAATACATTTTTAAGAGAATCATGTTCGTTTGAGGCTATGAATGGTAGCTAGGCCTATCACATCGATGTGGAATTACATGAGTAAGATGGTCGAAATCCAGCCCAAAGAAGTTTACAGACTAGTGCAATGCTCCTAATCTGAAGTTATGTACTTTTTTCATTAACACGGAAAACCGATGCAGAGCTCTTATTGATGGGTCCCTCAAAATGAGAACCCTATTGACATGTTACACAGCTATCGATATTGTATCAATATATGTCTCAGGCAGAGTACCTACTGGGGAAGATCGCCATCAACTCCATATTAGCTCAAGTAAAACCAGACACTTTGCTAGCTTAGGCATTATGCTACAAGATTGTCTATGCCTGAATATTATATAATATTTCTGTGAATTTGTTATTAAGTATAGAATCAAGTCAGGTTATAAATGCCAAAAGCTTAGAACACATTTAAAAGGTTTGGTTAGCAACTAATGCGCTTTGCACTTTATGAAAACTGCATCAAAGTAGGGACAAATCCACAACAGAAGACATACAACAGAGTTTGCACTTATCATTAGCATACCTGTACAAGAAAAGCCATATCAACAACCAATGTTTTGATGACAGCGTTCACAAGATCCCAAACTCCATAAGCAACATTAGAAGAACCAATGTTGACATCAATCTACAAAAAGAGGAAATCACGTTAAAACCAATGGAATATCGTCGAATACTCGTAAACATCGCATCTAAGCAAAATCAGATGACTCTTTACTTCCAGGTAGTTAGGACCACGGATATAGTTGCAGTCAACTGCTTTCCCCAACAAACAAGGAGTACTACCAACACTCTGTTGAACAATCCACGAACCCTGCATAATGTACATTACAGGTCAACATCCTCAAGAAAAAGTTTACTGCAGAAAAAGAAGAAAAGGTGAGGATCCAATTATCAGAAAAGTACTCAAGGAAATTAGTAGGATTCTTACAATACAGTGATATATATAGGTACTGATTGATTGTTACTTGATGGAAAGTGAAAATTTTCAATATGGAGAGAGATTTTATTATCGCAATTTTCTTAGTCACATATACTAGGACGTCTCATAATCGTCTACACTAAGAAATAGAAGCAACTTGACCAAATTGCCCGAGCATTCCCAGCAAAGCAACTCAGTAACATAGTATTATCCACATACACCTATGGCTGAGACATGTCTATATGTGTCCAATTCAAGGATTTTGAAGTAATCATATGTCACCTTGAAAAATGGAGGGCAATTAAGTACTGTTGGTATGGTCAATCTGTTGATATCATAAAATGGTTGAGACAAGCACCTTTGGTACTGAAGGAATGAGCTTGAGTCTCCTATTGCGGAATTCATCATTACCATCAACAAATCGTTGCAAGAGGGATCCAGGTTCTAATTTTTTAGTTACGAAGTAAAATACCATACTGTAATGGGTTGAGCCAGGTACCTGCATATTATGGGGTTATGCTATTGCCAAACTCTGAAGTGTCAGCTAAACTGAAAATAAATGATTATCCAATTTGAGGTTCTTTATTTGAGGTGCTTACTTGCACATTGATGACAATGGAGAAAAGCCCCTTCCTGGAAGCAACCTGTAGAGACACATAGAAAGACCTAAATTCATATCAAAGCTCCTTAAGGTCACATCATTTGTCGAAAGGAGTTTCTTAATAAGCACCCCAGGGCAATTGTTAAGCATCCAATTAAAGAAAGCTTTCTCATTTCCAAAGCACTGTTTTTCCCATGTTTGGCATAATCAGTACTCTTAGAAAGTTCAACCCAATAGCTTAAGCTGATAGGTGGAGGAGACCACATGGATATAAAGAGCATTTAGCACCCGTTATCAATCAATGTGGGATAATACTTCAACAAGTACATCGTAAATGAAAACAGATCTGCATTATGTATGATTAACAAGTGCCCCGGGGCACGTGTTAACAAGAGCCTTGTCTAAATAGCCCTTAAAAGAATATGGCAATGCTGAGTTCAATTAGATAGAATTAGACTAATATACTATTTCATTCTTGCAACTTTCCTTTCCTTCAAGTTTATATATAGTTCCCTGATGTCATCATTTGATGCATCTAGACCTGGATAAGACTTCTAATCAAGGAAAAATGAAGTGCGCACAACAACTAAAGAAAGTTTTCTGAAGAGACTGCTCTAAGATTGAAAATTGACATTAAGACTACACGGTTTCAGAAATCTCATAACAAAACTGCCCTTCTTTTCTGTTTGTTCTATTGAACTAGAATGTGTAAGGTAGATAAGCACACATCAAAAAAGATTGAAGACCGAACCCCTCATTTTAGTTCTGCCGTTTCCTTTGCAAAATTCTGTGCTTAAATCAAATTCAACCAACTGTTGGCTATATGTTAATGTGGAGTAGGCCAATCTGACCTGTATAAAGTCCCAAAAAATGCAGAGCACAAAATTTGACCATCCATCAAGATCCACCATCAATGTGAAAAGTACAAGGAGCTGAAATTGATAAAATTCTTTTGCCTCTGAGTTAGGAAAAGCTAGAAAGCTACTTTCACTTTTAGAGAGGCGCAAACTTGAAAAAGAGATATAATCAGCAACTCTGACAGTGTCTCTTTGTGCAAAATTTTGACTCTATTTGTTCTGTTTCTCAGGCTTCAGCGGATCAAGTTAAATCAGATTTCTGACCCGCCCCAACCCCATTGTAACATAACTAGCTTCCACCACTCTGAATTGTGGGACAGGTCTGGAGTCCCATTTAGGAAACATGTAAGGTTTGGGACGAGTATGGAATTTAGTTGACAGGTACTGTAAAACTAGAAGCATATTAAATATTACTGGAAGATCAATTTTCTTCTAAGATACAGTAGATGATTCAGGCAATTATATTTTCAATTTTAAATTTAATATATTAATTACTATATACATATCAATCGGGTTCCAGTTGGGTTTCAGCTTCTCATATACTTAAGTGGGACAGATTATAGAGTACATTTTTGAACCCCACTAAAGATGGTAACAGGTTTGTGGTCTTATTTGAAACTCGATGTGGTTCAGTTTGGAACAGAGTTAGCAGTCCCAAACTGCCCACCTACTATCTCTATCTGTTTCTATCTGGATGTGTGATGAAGATCCAGTTTACACCAACTGAGCATCTCTCTTTCCTTTCTTTGTCTCTATTGACTTGACTAGCCATTCTTGGGTATAGTGGCATAGAGATTTTGTTAATGGATAACACGATGCACCACCTTTACTGAGCTAAATATGGGGGCACTAATGATATGTGGCTACTCAGAGTTATCATTTCCACAATGTCTCATGACCCCCCCAAAGCACCAAAACAGAAGTCCCACCCACCACACCATGATGAAAAGCACCTCATACAACAAGTAAACCAAACCGGGTTTCAGACAAGAGAACAGTCCTCAGCAAAATATTTGAGCAAATTGAGAACTGACTTGTGCTGCACATCCTTTTCGTCTGGCAACATGGTCTATTCTTTTTGTGTCCTTGAACCAATCAACAGCAACAAGATCCATTAGATGATTTCCTGCAGGAATCTTTATAACAAAAGTTGCCAACAATGTAGTGAGTGCATGATTACTAATAATAATGCGAAAATGAGTATATGAGCACAAAAGGAAGATATAAAGGACCTCTGATTGGTCATCGCAAAAATGCTTGCTCCGAACTCTGAAATTTTTCCCATCAGAAATTCTCCAGCAGTCTCGAGCATTATCATGGTCAACATGAGGTAAATTACCAGAAAAGCATGACAAATCAATTTGTTCCGCAGCTTCTTCTTCCATGGCTTCATTTTATTTAAGGCATGCAAGCAAAGTGTCATATTCAATTTCCACAACATTTGTGACATGAAGAAGTCAAAAGTTCAAAGCATTATCACGGTCAACATGAGGTAAATTACCAGAAAAGGATGACAAATCTTCCACTGCTTCTTCTTCCGTGGCTTCCTCTTATTTATGGCATGCAAGCAAAGTGTCACATTCAATTTCCACAACATTTGTGACATGAAGAAGTCAAAGTTCAAAGCACAACATCTACCTTCTTTCTTGACTTCACCCTCAAGACCAGTTGAGTATTCCTAGACCATCGTTACATTTATGAAAAGAGAATAAAGTTAAGGTCCTGAAAAGGTAGGCAATCATAATGTGAGGAATACCCAAAAGAAAATCAAACCTCTGGTTCTGGAAATTCCTCATCGTCATCAGAATATTCGTCCATCATAACAGAATTTCTACCCGAAGCATTAGTTTCAAGAGAACGTGTTGGATGAACAGTAGACTCATTATGTTTAGCCTTATATGAAGAAACAGAGGCTGATGTCATATTAACCATGACAGGGATTCTTGGAAGGGCACTTCTTTCATCTGTCTGGGCAAACCATTCACGCATTCCTTTGAGCAAGAAGTACATGAAGATTTGTCATCAGCAAAGAATGGTGAAAGTGTCTCTAGCTCATAGATATGCAAACATAAAAGTAAACGGACCATCATAAGTCTAATCGTGATAAACAGTACATTTTAAGCTAGAAAATTAGCTCTGATAATTGAAAAAGAAACTATGCAAAATTTTTTAACTGTTCCGGCTTCTACTACTCAATATCTATTGCAGCAAGCAGAAAATCAATGAATTTAGACATCAGAAATTGTCTTCACACTTAAGTATAATCAAGTCAAACTATTATACAGAATATGCGAGATTTCAGTGCTGAAACCCAAACAAGATGCAAATGGAAAGGAGATGAAAAAATGAAGACGTACATATGAAAATTGGGAATATACGGTCTTCAACCCCTCAAAATAAAATGTGATAAAATGTGGATCAGCAACAACCTTAACCTCAAAAAGTTAAAGAGAGAATTGCGGGAAGGAACTCACCAGCTACACAATTTAACATATGAAGGAGACATTGTTGCTGAAAAGCCGGAATATAGCCCACACCCCATCCTTTCAAATCAATTTGCATAAGATGCTGAACCTGTGTTCTTGGTCTCCCATTTCGAGATTTTAGCGGTGAGATGTTGAACCCTCCACCTGAGAGCACATGTTAAAATCGCTCGAATGATTCTCATAGCGGTATTCTTCATTATACCAAGAAATCTACAATCCGTCTTTGCTTTGCAAAATCTACATCTATGACTTACTCTCAACATGTGCACGCACACATCCAGGCTGTGGACCACAATTTACATGTTCTCTAGAACGAAATAGCACAACTGCAAAGAATCCAATATTTAAATGTGCCTAATCAGTCAAGCAATTATAATACCATACACAAATAACTATGCCAATCCTAGGTTGTTCTAACATCAAGCAAATGAAAACTCTTCATGCAACAAAAATAATTTAATTTGGGACCAGTGGAGAAACACTGTACCATAACTCCCATCATCATTCCGGCGCCAGTACCGCACATAACAAAGATCACGTGGCCACACCAACCTGCAATAGAGTTATTGACAATGTCCAGTCAATTGTGAGTGAGCTAATCATAAATGAGAAAGATGTACTTACCAAGTACAAGCAGAAACAGTAGAAAAACCTGAAGATCAAATGCCAAAGTCGCCCATTGACTTCCTTAAATTTGTAATAGCAAGCATTCAATGACCAATTGAATCACTTATTTCGCACGACTCATCCGAAGAAATTGCATAAGACGTATATGGCCCATAAGTACTTCTCCAAGGTCAAGGCTTCTAACGTAAGTTTGCACCAGAGTTCATCACATGACAGACTGTCATTCAAGTCTGTAATGTGATGACCTTTAAACTAGAAAGTCCAAAGAGACCAGGACAACTACGTAAAAGTTTTCAAACGTTGTTTTCCTCAACAGTGTGAAGTTCACAAGGTTCAAGAAAAGACTAGGCAAAAAGTAGAAAGTAAATTTCACTACAAAGTCCAAACAGACCAGGACAACTACGTAAAAGTTTTCACAGGGTCATACTACAAGAGTAAGACACGAAAATTCTCATTCTTGAGGCCTTGCGACTTCATACTGCAAACTCTAAACTAGAAACGAAACTAAAGCTAGGTTGTTAACAACTCTCTTGGTTTCCTTGGCATTTTGGTTTTGTAAATTACGGTTTTTCCACAAATTTCATGCTCTCTTCAAATCTACTTGAACAATGCAATTCCAGCCATCTCATCAAAATAATAGTTGCAAATTGTATCCTCATAACCCACGGTCACACAGGTAGAGAATACATTTGCCATTACATCAGAGTGTCGCACATGCATAGAGTTAAGTTTCACTGAAGCAAAACCATGATGTAACAACCTCAACATCAAAAAAGAATGCCATCACATTTACCTACATTATTTAGAAGTACAAAGAGGAGATCGAACTGAAGAAGAGATGATTACATTGGGAACCAGCCCAGCTGAAGCCGGTGATAAAGTATTGCCGTATGCCCATCTACCTCTTCAACTAAACTACCATCGTGGAAACTGCTATCCCACCTGCATAGACAGTAAATTGTCCTTTCTCATTTCAATCTGCGTACCATATCGATCATCTCATAGATGCAGAGATTCCACAGAGTAACTTCGAACTAAATAATTATGTTTAACCAGAATAACCTCCGAGCTGTCAAACTTTCAAAGTGGACAAATGCTGATAGATCATGCTACCCATGAACTAGATCAATTACGCTAGATGATGTCAGAATAAGCAACAAGCATTCCCGAAATAAATTAAAATGTGTACATAAAGTATCGACAATGCTTCAGAGTATGCTAGCTAAGCCATATTGCAGTTCTATTGAGCCCATTTTTTATAATTAGAAAATGGTAAGTAAAAGACCTACTCAAACCGTGTCCCGTCCATTCTCATTACAAGCTGAAATACTTCCTCACACGTAGCCTCAACGACTCCAACAGCCTTCATTGCTCCACCGCAGCTCCTTGCCTGCATACATGCAACTAAAAATGTTGAAGGAGCCCAAAACATCCTAACGTGCAGTAGAATCAAGCAACTCCACCAAACAAATATCAAAAAAGGTCTGTGAGGTAACCAATTCATGCATACAAGAGATATAAATCAAAGATTCATACCAAGTAATCGACTTCGACAAGCTCTTCAAAAATCCGAAGACCTGTCACCAATAGAAAAATCAACTGATTTATTTTTGCATCAGGGATGGCCAACTTTTACCAAATTTAGTCACAACATGCTACCATTTTGACACTGGTGCAAACGCCAATGCTTTTTGGGAAATCCTTGGTTATTGTTATTCTGATGAGACATTTCTGAGTCAACTTCCCTGGTCCAGTCAAGAACTGAGTCGGGAAGACCTAACAAAAGTATGGAGATCAAGTTAGATAGGTAGAAATCACAATTGTGACAAATATGAGAAATCAAAGGGATTGAATAACCATTTCCAATTTTTCTTCGCAGGTCTCGATGAGCATCATCTTCATCCTCTGGTGCACTGAACCTGAATATCAAAATTAGTAAGAAAATTTACACTAGAGATTAGAAATGTCTGCATGAATGACCATACTATTACTGTCAAAGTGCCCAGGAAGACTTTATGGATACACTGGCAAGTACTACTAAGTTTATGAATTCTAATTTCAGCAGCCTGGAGTAGGACACTAATGAGAATAATGTTACAGCTCAATATGAATGGAAATATAAGAAAGAGCAGACAAAATAAGAACTGCTTTGGATCTTCAGTATTTACCTAAGGAGACTCCTTCCATAATCCAAGTAGGGGCCCACTTCATAACGAGAAAACTGTAACCCATGCATCCTAATATATTGTCTCCACAATGTGAGGTTTCTCTAAGTGAATGTTTTCACGTACTCAATTAGCAGGAATTTTATCTGTTATTTTGGTTTATCTATGTAAGACCATGAGTCAACAGTGTTACGTTACTTGAGTGGTGTCAGCTTTATTTTCTGGGTTTTATTTCTTTTTATATACACAAGGGCATTATGGTCATGTACAATATATGCAATATAAATATATTGCGATAGGTGTGGGACTTCGGTAACACAGAAACCGAGAGCCTCTCGTAGGCTTTTACGATCTGTTTTTTCCTCTCTTCTTCTCCTCTGTATTTCTCCTCTCTTCCTTCTTCTCTCTTGGCTATTTACCACAGGTTCTCCAATCAGCTTTGCGATATGGTATCAGAGCAAATCTGACGACCTGATTCCTTGATCCTATAGCTGGTTTGACAGTCCCCTAATAACCCTTATCCTTCTCTGGTGCGCAGCCACCCAACTAGTCTTGCTACATATAAGACCAGGAGAAATCATATCCATCAGGTTCTGTTTGCGGCTATGGATTACAACACTTACTGATCAGCACATTCAAGGATCAGAATATTTTGTTGATTATATTTGACTGGTGTGCAGGATTTCCATTGAAAATATAATTAATTGAATTGGGAACTTTTTTTTTTGGTCCGATATTTTCTTCTATATAGCAGCCTATATTTATGAGATTTCAGCATCCCCTTTCTGAGATAGATGAAGCCAATTGTGTCTGATTATATGTCGATATCGATTATATGGAGCCAAGGGCTGTTTTATTTCTTGCACTAAAGTTTCAGTCTTCTTGATCTGCGGTAGATACATTTATATTGAGATTATCACCATGAGTGATACTAAGTCTTCTATAGACAGTGTCAACATTCATATTACCACAATTAAATTAAATGGGGCCTCCAATTACTTGTTATCAACTCAAGCTGTCAAGGTCTATATTAATGCCAAAGGGAAACTCAAGTATCTTACATCAAACCCCCCTATTGTAGATTCTAAAGAATATGGTGACTAGATGAGATAGAATGATAACACTTTTGGTGTGGTTATGGAACAGCATGGAACCACCCATTGCTGCTAATGTCATGTTCCACACAATTGCCAAGGGAGCGTAGGATGATCTTATGGAGAGCTACTCACAAGACAAAAACATGTCTAGAGTCCTTTATCTGAGGAGATCTTTAAATTTAAACAAGGGGACAAGTCTCTTGGAGAGTATTACAGTGCTTTGAAAGGCATGAGGGAAGAACTCAATCTTTATCAGCCCATCACTACTGATCTTGAGAAACTAAAGACACAACGAGCAGAATTTCAAGTGGCCAAGTTTTTATCTAGGTTGAATACTAACTTGTAGCCTGTGAAGAGCCAGCTTCTTGCTGGAGAGAAAGTTCCTTCCATGAATGAAGCATTTCATCGGATTCAGCGCATTATTCCTCCATCTTCTACATCATTTAAAGACAGTTCAGCACTTGTGGCTAGTAGTGGTGGTCGTGGTGGATTTTTTAATAGAGGCCGTGGTTCAATGGGAGGTCATGGCTGTGGTGGTGGACGTAGTGGATAGAGTTCTGATCAAGACAGCCGTCAGTGTACATACTGTGGCAAATCTAGTCATAATGTTGACACTCGTTGGGCCAAGTATGGCAAGCCTGAGTGGGCTCAGCGATTAGTTACTGCAAATGCTGCTTTGTCTAAAGGGAATGCTGGAAATGTGTCTTTAGGCGACATGAATCCATCTATGCCAATTGGGGTTAGTTCTTCTGAGTCTGCGGCTCGGGATGATCTACCTACACAACTTATCAAGTGTGTCCAACAACTAGAGGCTTCCAATTCCTCATCCATTGCCACTCTTGCACGTACAGGTAACATCGCATTTTTCTCTACTTTGTCTCCTTGCACCCGGGTCATTGACTCGAGAGCTTCTAGTCATATGGGTAAGCAAGAACTATTCTCTTCCCACCATAACTCTAGTTCTTCATCTCAAGTTATTTTAGCTAATGGTTCCTCTACTCAGGTGGTTGGATTAGGGATTGTTTCACTCACACCTCCCTTATGTTTGTCCTCTGTCTTACATGGTCCCCAACTTCCTTTGAATTTGTTGTATGTTAGTCAACTAACTAAAGATCTTGGTTGTTATGTTACATTTTACCCATCTTCTTGTATTTTTCAGGACCTTCAGACAAAGAAGACGATTGGTGGAGGGCATGAACGTGATGGACTCTACTATCTGGATGGAGTCTATACTGGTGACGCCAATGGTCTAGCTGCTAGTTCTACTACCCCCTATTATGGCATTCCCGTTTAGGACATTTATCTTTATTTAAGTTACAACGTATAATTCCTGAGTGCAAATCAGTTTCTACTCTCGAGTGTGAGGCTTGTGAACTTGGGAAACATCATCGTAGTTCTTTCCCCAGTCGTAGTGATTCTCATGCATCTACTTTACTTGAACTTGTTCATTCGGACATTTGGGGACCTTCGCGTATTGCTAGTAGAAATGGGTTTAAGTACTTTGTTATTTTTGTGGATGATTACTCTCGTCTAACATGGCTCTATATGATTCATGACAGTTCTGAATTTTTATCTGTTTTTCAATTATTTCATCGTGAAATTACTAATTAGTTTAATACATCCCTTGAAATTTTGCGAACTGATAATGCTCTAGAATATTCACAGAAATCAATTTCTTTGTTTTGTTCTAATCTTGGCATTATACATCAAACAAGTTGTACTTATACCCATCTGTAGAATGGTGTGCCCGGGAGAAAGAACCGTCATCTTCTAGAAGTTGCTCGTTCACTTTTGTTTTGTATGCATGTCCAAAAATCATTTTGGAGTGATGATGTCCTTGCTGCCCATTACAGCATAAATCATATGCCTTCCACTGTTTTGTCCGTAACTTACGTCCCAGTGCTGACAAACTATCCCCACGTGCCACCAAATGTGTTTTTCTCGGGTATTCACATACTCAAAAGGGATATCGGTGTTATCATCATATGACTTGTACCCAATATGTCAATGCTGATGTCACTTTCTTCAAGGGCACACCATACTGTTCTACTGAGGATAAAGAGTTTTCAACTGACATTGTGGCCGATCCTCCTATCCTACAACTTATCCCCTTAGATTTTGTTAGTCCTTCTCCTGTGTCTCCTCCCTTGCAGGTGTATCAGCGGCGAACGTAGTCTACGGCACCACCAGTCTCCAGCTCTTCCATGCCCTCTGTCCAATCTCCCTCCATGTCTCCTTGTCCGGACGATCTTTTGGTTGCCCTTCGCAAAGGTACTCGTTCTTGTACACAAAGATCCTCTTTTGCTTACCCTATTGAGCGTTATGTGTCTATCTCACATCTTCCTACCCCATTACATGACTTTGCTCTATCATTACATACTCACACAATTCCTACCTCTACCATCGAGGCCTTGTCTTGTCTTGAGTGGAAGAGAGCTATGGATGTTGAAATGGAAGTTCTGGTGTCCCGCAGACGTGGTCTTTGATTGATCTTCTTCGTGAGAAAGATGTGGTGAAGTGTTGGTGGGTATACACTATCAAGTACAACCCGGATGGCTCAGTTGAGCGTCTTAAGGCCTAGCTTGTTGTTATAGGTTTTACTCAAACTTATGGGGTGGGACTATTTTGAGACATTTTCCCCCGTGGCATGTCTCAATTCTATTCGTGTTATTATTTCTCTTGCTGTGAATTTTGATTGGCCATTATATCAATTGGATGTGAAGAATTCTTTTCTTTATTATGATTTGTTTGAGGAAGTATATATGGAGCAACCTCCTGGGTATATTGCTCAGGGGGAGAATCGTAGTAAAGTATGACGGCTGCATAAGCCATTTATGGGTTGAAACAATCTCCAAGAGCATGGTTTGACAAATTCAGTTCAGTGATTTCCAAGTGTGGTTTCCACAAGTATTATTTTGATCATTCTATTTTTGTTTGAAAGTAGTCAGGGTTGGTCATTCTTGTTGTATATGTACATGATATAATTGTCTCTGGCAGTGATGTGACTGGCATTTCTGAGGTCAAGTATTCTCTTCAGTAGTAGTTTCAGATTAAAGACGTAGGAGCTCTTAGGTATTTTCTGGGTATTGAAGTTTTAAGTAGGAAAGGTATTAATTAGTCTCAACGAAAGTACGTTCTCGATCTTTTGTTTGAGACTAGTACACTAGCTTCCAAGCTAGTTGATACTCCTATGGATCCAAATCAGAAGTTTCGAGTTGATGGCAGAGATGATATTGAAGATAAGCATCAATATCGGCATCTGGTTGGGAAACTAATTTATCTTACTGTTACACGTCCTGATATTTCCTTTGTTGTTGGTGTGGTGAGTCAGTTTATGGAGTCACCCAAGAAGGCTCATTGCGATGTTGTTTGTTGCATTCTTCGGTACCTTAAATCTCTCCTGGTAAGGGACTTTTTATAAACCGAACGGTTCTTCCATTCTGGTTGGCTATTCTGATTTTGATTGGACTGGGTTAGCATGTGATCCTCGGTCTACGACTGGGTATTGCACTTTTCTTGGTGGTAATTTCATTACTTGGAGAAGCAAGAAATAGACTACCATTGCCAGGTCTAGTGCGGAGGCTAAATATTGTGCTATGGCACATACTGTGGCTGAATTGTTGTGGTTGAAATCCCTTCTCCAGGAGCTTGGATTTTCCATTAATCAACCTATTGATATGGTGTGCGATAATCAGGTAACTATATATATATTGCTGGGAATCCTGTTTTTCAGGAGCGAACTAAGCATACAGTCAACTTTGTTCGTGATGCTGTGAAGCGGAAGTTGGTTTCTACTCCTTACGTTGCCTCTAGAGATCAGTATGCTTATATGTTCACTAAACCGTTGTTTCATCTACCTTTGTTGCTGGTTGTTTCAAGCTGGACATGGGTGACCTATATGCTCCAGCTTGAGGAGGAGTGTTATGTTACTTGAGTGGTGTCAGTTTTATTTCTTAGGTTTTATTCTTTTTATATACATAAGGGCATTATGGTCATGAATAATTCATATTCAATATAAATATATTGCGATAGGTGTAGGGCTTTGGTAACACAGAAACCAAGAGCCTCTTGTTGGCTTTTACAATCTGTTTCTTCCTCTCTTCTTCTCCTCTCCATTTCTCCTCTCTTCCTTCTTCTCTCTTGGCTATTAACCACAGATTCTCTAATCAGCTTTGTGACAAACCGAAAGCGAAAAATACTCAAATGGCATGTTTGGTACGAAGAAACGAAAGGAAATGGAAATGGAATGAAGGGAGGAATCTAATGGCAAATTTAGATTATCTGCACAAAACAAGAGGAAAATTGAACCTCATCAAAAGCACTTTCTCCAATCTTCCTTTGTGTTTCATGTCTCTCTTTCCTATACCTTGTTCGGTTAGCAAAAGGTTGGAAGTAATTTTTTTTTTTTTTGGTTGAAAGTTGGTGGGAAGTAACTCAAAATAGATTTTTGCGGGGGGATTACGATGAATTGTGTAAATTTCATTTGGTTAATTGAAATGCAGTTGAACAACCTTTCTATAACAATAAAATTGGCATCAAGCCTCTTTTACTGCTCAACAGGGCTCTTCAAGGCAAATGGTTATGTCGGTTCAATGTTGAACATAATCATCTTTGGAGCAAAGTGGTTATTGATAAATTTGGCCTGAAAAAATTGGTTGGATTTTAAGAGTAGAAGAATAGCTCATGCTAGCGGTGTTTGGAGGCAGATAATAGATGAATAGAGTGAGCTTGTTACTCATACGGATCATATTGTGAGAAATGGTAAGCGGATACACTTTTAGCTTGACACTTGGTGTGGGAAAATGTCTTCAAAGATTGTTTCCCTGACCTCCTTGACATCACTAGGAAACAAGGAAGCTCTTGTATCAGATTGCTACTGTTTCTCCAAAGGGACAACGACCTGGGAGATTTGACTTTTCAAGACAAGTCCAAGATTGGACACTCGAAGCTTTTGTTGGTTTTTTATTTGCTGTTCAACTTCTAAGACTACTCTCACTTCTGTGGACACATTGTTTTGGAGTACTTGTAGAGATAGAATTTTTTCAGTAAATTCTTATTATAGTTTGCTCGAGTAGAAGATTGTTGGTGGCAGGGACTTGGAAAGCTATTTGGAAAGTGAGGGTACTAACTAGAGTTCCATTTTTTGTTTGGGAAGCATCTTGGGAACGTACTCTCACCTTAGAAATTTGCAGAAAAGAGAGATTGTGCTGGTCAACAGATGCCTTTTTCACAAAAAAGAGGCGGAGATGGTGAGACATCTCCTCCATCACCGTCCGTGGACAAGATTGATCTGGGTGGCCACTTATGCGTGCACTGGGCGATCTTGGGGGATAGGAGGATTTATTGAACAAGAGTTAAGAAAGCGATTTCTTCAATCCCTTTTACTGTTTCTAGGTTGATTTGGAAAGACCGGAATAAGAGAGTTTTCATTGGAAAGGAGATGCCTATGTTTGTAATTATTGAAAGCTGGTTGAAAGTCTTACACTTTTTGTATAGTTGACAGTTATGTGTGGATGTAAGTGCTTTAATCAAACACTATAGATGATTAGTGTTGTAACTGAGCTCCTTTGGTCCCCGCCTTTTGTATATGGGATTGCACTCCCTTGGTTCCCTATGATCTTTTCTTTTACCAATATATAAAAAAAAAAAAAAAGAACGGAACAGATATTCCTAATTTTATGTTTGGCTGTGATAGGAAAAAAATGTGAGAATCGAAAAGTTGTTAGAGCCAATTGTTAAATATGCCCTTAAAATGAAGTATGAGAGAGAGAAAAAATGTAAGGATAAACTTGAAATTTTTTTTTTAATATGTGCCTTTTTAAAGAAATGAACGCCAATTCCTTCCCTTATGGCAAGGAATGCTAATTCCATCAATTTGATGGAATTGGCACGCCCATCAGAATTCTCATTCAGCTAATGATGTGAATGGAGACCGAATGGCGATTCCATTCCAACCTCCGTTCCGTGTAGCAAGCACAGCCTAAATATTATAGAACTCAGAAAATTATGGAAATGAGAGAATTCCCTGAGAAAAATCAGATGATGCTATGCAGCAAAATAAAGAACCTAGAATTGGCGTCCCTGGGAAATTGAAGTTAGATAATGCCAGACAGCAAAACAAAGAAAATGTTGGTGAAAAGAGAGAAGCATCTACAAACTCGAGAAGAGTGTCATGCCAAATGACATGGTTAGAGAGATCTTATCTGAGGCACTCACTGACTTTCATGGTTTGAAGACGAAGCCGTCCCCCAATTGTCCATCGCAGGCTTAAATTCAAAAGAAACGTGCTTATTGCCATTTAATTCCTGTTGCTGGTGACAACAGCAAGTACTTAGTTCCTCATCCACGGTTAGGACTCAAATATTGACATCAAAAGCCCAAACACTATGAAATATTTAGGCATTGTACACAGAAAGTGATAATGTTGGATGACTTGGTGCTCAAACGACAATACTTAGTAAACAGAACAGTTCTAACAAGTGCTACTCAAGTGAGGCCGCTCTGACCAAAAAAAAAAAAAAAAAAGTTAGGCCGCAATTTGAAACCAAGAATCAGAGATTTGAGAGAGGTTATTATGAAATTGCTTTCAAGAAATACAAACCTGATCGATCACTGCCTCAATTTTTTCCTTCCAGATTAAGGCCTCCTGGATGTTAAATGCTGCCATCTGGAGCAGGAGCATAGTATAATTATTCATTCCCCTAAAGAAGCTTGCAAAGTTCACAATCACAATTTCCCATTACACTACTAAAACTATAGCAAAAAAAATAAATTACCAACAGTTTATAGCAAAAGTAAACCATTACATGAAGCATATATTTTCTCGTAAGTGTAGGCTCTTCAAGAATCAGTACTTGAAGTTATCTAGATGTAGCTTGGCAACTAGTCTCAACTAATTGAACAATATAATCATTATGCATGACTGTTTATAAATGGTTTATGTTTCAGATTTTCTTTTTCCTGTCGGGGAAGTATAATATGTAGTTTAAAAATAGCACTGTCAAGATTCAGAACTTCAATGGCAATCGTCAATACAGTTGTCTTGCACACATCTGTGATGGTGTGTGGATACATTGCCATTTTTCTTTTGCTTTGAGCATGGCAAATGTAAGAATTAATGTGCAGTAAATTGCATTCCTCGATACTACCGCAATCCTTATTCATCTCCCCGACTTGGTATGGAAGTATTTGCAGGATCCACAACCCCACTCCCCACTTTCACTGCCAGACGCTTTTTGCAAGTACACAAAAAAGAAAGAGAACATCTACAGTTCTGCAATAAAGTTTCAAAGAAGGACGCAAGATTGGGTTTTGGTTGCCTTAAACATGTTGGCCAGTTTATAATACAACCTTCAGGGACAAAGAAATGGTCGAAAAAATCATTTCAAAAAGAGGAAAATGAAGGGCTAAAAGAAAAACTAAGGACATCCCCAATACTTTCACCTAACTATTTCTAGTGGAGATCTCAGCAGATTGTGTACTACTTAACACTGGCTAAATCTGCCATAGATTCACAGTTGTAAATTGCAGACTCAATAGGTGTCCTGTACAGCTTCCATCTGGCCCCAAAAACCATGTGAAAAATGGGGTGCAAGTTATATTAAGGTATTTGGTAAACACTTCACGGTTGCGGCATCTTACAGCAGCTTCCATGAAACTCCTCCACCTAGCTTCAAGGTATTGCAGCTTTAGATAGACATGGCTATATTCCGGAAAGGACCAAAATGTTCATGCTATAAGCATTGCTCTTGACTATTAGGAGAATTCCCATTGATATCATTGTCTAATAAACAGTGAATTATTTGGATTTATTATGAGAAAAATCAGGCAGGAATTTGATCAATATTGCTGGTCTTGTATGTAGTTCACCCATTTAAAGAAATTAGAATAATTAGAGTTCTTATGTCCTTCTGCACCATAAGCAACTACATTAATCTTCTCATGCATACATAACTTTTTGTTTTTGGTCGAACAAACATAACAACTAACATGAAAAGATTCAAAGAGGAAAGAAAGCCACATAAAAGTCTCCTCTACAATCAAATTCGATCTCCTATTCATCATTGTCGGCTGTTTAAGAATGAAAACCATAACACTCCACTCTTTAAAAGAGAATCTGCGCAAATAATATAAACCACACACCGTGACATCGTGCTTCTCCTTCATGTTGTAAACACACAGTTCATAAACCATCTGCAATTAAAAGCACCGTTAGACAAAACATGACATGGTTGAATTAGTTCAGTTCATGATATAGTTAAGTTCATGAATAAACTACTCTTTGTTCATACCATACTAAAAGGATAGTACTCTATTGAGCATTTAACTTGCAACACCACAAAAATGCCAATATTGAAGTCTACAAGGTATCTAGTGGGAAAACAAGGCTGGTAAGAGAGGCAGGCTGAACTAAGCTTAGACAAATAAAGTAATGAAGAAGCATAGGAATCCAGATATGATGAATTTTTGTGATGTGGAGCATCCTGACAATATTCCACTACAACCTTCGCCGTTCATTTGTTTCACACAAAAGGTTTGTGCATCCCAGCAGAAGGTGCATCTGGCAAGTGGGTGATCACAAAAAAATGCCTGCTTATCTTTAACATGAACATTTGTTTTCTGGAAAAATGCTACTGTAAATTGAGAGAGGTCTTGACAACTTAGCAACATTAGAATCTACCTTGCATGGCCTCGCCCCTGAATTGAGGTATCATGAATTTCTAGAATGAACTCAGACCACAAGCAAAGAGCAACTCTAAGACCACGCCACAAGCTGCCTTGAAACTAAACCAAGGTAAATAAGGTTCTAGTGCAGAAATTATCAGATCATCTTAAAATGATAAAAGAGAAGTTTACATAACGTGGGACATGACTCAAGATAAAAGCTTCATATTGCAGACAACAGAAGTACCAAATAGGAAGTTAATACACACAAGAGAAAAGAAGGCCTCAGGGCAACCTCCCATGACCTCTCGTCCTAAATATGCTCGCTTCTTTAGAGTACATCAGAATCAATTTTACTGCTTCAACAATAGAGGGCACAGCTATATTATTGCTACTAGGGTTGAACCAAGAAGGATAAAGGATAAGCAGACATCCGCAAGTCAAGTAAACTTCACACCGAAAGACAGTACTTGGGTTCTCCCAATAACAAATATGAGTACTTGATGGATGCCATGCTTGGTTTTCGAAGCATGTATAAACAGAGGTGGTGCTCAAAATAACTAAATCAAAATTTTGATACAACCATGCCGCCAATGCTTTTAAAGAACCTACACCTCCAAAGAGGATCAATTTATAAGTAACATAGAAGCACCGGAGGAACTGGGTATAGCTATGGGCAACGACATGAGATCAGGTAATTATCTCAAGAGAAGATATAATTGCCTGCATATTAATGAAAACTAGATTAAGCAATAACACACTCTGGGCCGATCCACTTCCGTAGATTCAAATGCAGTCATAGGATGCCCGAAAAATAAGCAGTCGAAGGGAAATGACAACTCACGTGTCCGTCGTGCATCTTCAAGCCACGATCCTCCACCCTACAATTGCCATCGATTACCATTGCCTTGATGGGAGCCTAAGACAAACAAACAGTCGAAACTCAAATGTTGTAAATCCTCTTCCCCACTAGGAAAACAAAAAAAAAGCCAAAGATCGAAATTGAACTGAACATCATAGAAAACAGCTACCGCTACCAAGCACACGAATTGCCCATACTCGATTCTCCTTCTTTCCAAAGGACTGAACCCGCTAACACCCAGAAGACTTGGCGGAGGCAAGGACAATGAATTACGACCAGGGCATACACGCACGCGAGAGAGAGAGAGATGGAGAGAGAACCTGGTTATCTTGAGGCTTCCTCTTGTAATAAGCGAGCAGCCGGGGCTCCAGCACGAAGTACCTCATGTGTATGTAGGATCTACCGATCTTCCTGCGCCCGTACCTCACCATCCACCCTTCCCACACCACCTTCGACATCGCCGGTTCCGGGAGGCGGAGAAAAACGCGAACCCAATTCTCCAAATCCGAAGCTCCAGCTGCTCTCCGAGATCAGGAGCAAGGTACCCACTGGAGTTGACTCTGGCTGGCTTTGAACTATGTGTCGGCGTCCTCTGAGCTCGTGCGCATACTTTCCTGTTCCAATATCAACATGGTTTGCGTACGGAGACCCGTTGTTGTCTACGTCAACTCTCCGTTTGTTGGTCAAGGAAGTCCAAATCTTTTATTGACAGCGTGGGAGTGGGACTTCTTGTGTACGTCGTCTGGCCGTACATTAATTTATACCTTTTCAGGGTTGCACATGTAAATCTTTCCTGCAGTCGACGCATAAAAGGAAAGAGAGAATACTTTGCGGGTTTCTTTTTCTTGGGCCTAATTCCAAAAAAAAAATATCAGCTTTATCACAATTATGACATGAACTTTTTTTTCGTCACATAAAAAGTCACAAACTTTAACGTAAATCTTAAATTTGACCCGAATAATTTGAACATTTCACGTCATGAAAGCTTGATTTGAGACTCGAGTAAAAATTTACGCCTTTTATTAAAATAAAAAAAAGTTCGATCCAGAATTATCACTCAAAATAAAGTTAGTGTTTTTTTTTTAGTCCCTTTTTCTTGATAACCGAAGAGAAGCCGTGCAGTGAAAGGCAAAAGCGTACCACGGAGAAAGGACGAACGGAACGTTCTTGGTTTAGCGGTGCAAAAGAGTTTTGCTTTGAGCTTCAACACATAGTGATTTATGCTGTGAGTTTTGCATCCAGTTAAGTTATTTATTTGTAAATATTTTAGATTTGGATTTAATTTAGTTGTGGGGAACGCTCGAGAATGTGAGCAATTGCAATTCTAATTCTCCGATTATAGTAGATTATTTGCTGTTGGCTCTCTCATTGAATGTAAGTACCGATACTCGGACCGATCCATGTAAATCTTTGGTATCATTTACTATTCGTGTTATTTCCCCGGTGAATTCACATTGATTTAATTGCAAGATTGGATATTTTTCGCATTAATTTTCAAAAATTGTGTTTACACCAAAAAATGATCAGGTCGTTGACATGAATAAGCACGTGCTTGACACATGAGCATCAACAGTCACACGAATAACGCGTGAAAATTGCTACACATGTGACGTCTTGTCGACGCCCATGGAGACTAACGGTTGATGCTGATTTACATTCGTGGTGCACCTTTGATTGTTGATATACGGCGACGAATAACTAGCTACTATCAATATAGGTAGGCAAATAGTAAAACACCAATAAAGTCCTTTGAAAGCATGAAAAACATAGGAATGTGGTCATCGATCAGGACGGAGCAATTAGGATGACAGAGCTACGAGCATATGCCTACTCGGAGAACATCGAAATACGACCACAAAAGTTCAAAATTAGTAGGGCAGTTGAGATCGAGAAGAAATAAGTTTGACACTTTCGGAGGGAACGTATTCTGCTTGAAGATAGAAAAAGTCAAGAACCGTCGTAGACAAAGTCTTACGGCAGTTCTCATGCAGCATGACAAAAGCGACGGCTTACAAGGCAGAAATGTAGCATCATGAAGACATGGATACCGAACTTTCAAGAATAGAAGAACGTGAAGTTATCAATAGAAACCGCTCGAGGAAATGCAACTGCCGAAAACCGTCGGAAGGCGGTTACAATTGGATTATTATAAATACCACCGCACATCCAACTAGAGGCCCCCCACAAATCAAATAAATTTGTTCTTATTTTTACTTTCCTGCACTGCGTTTTACTTTTATTAGTTGTAGCTTTTAGATTCGCATCATTGATTAGATTCCGGCGTGTATCTCTATCATGGACGACGCATTATCAATTAAATTCCAACTTAGTATCGTCTCGTTATTAAGTTTTGTCATCGATTAAATTCCGGCAGAATTTGTCAACGTATAGTTCGTTTGTACCGATTGTACTAATCAACACGTGCGATGATCTCGAGCGCCCGTTCCTAGACTACATGGCCAATTTGACGGGCAAGCCTGGCTGGGGCGTGAGCCCGCTCCTACGGGATAAATATTGGAGGTCCGTAGCGTCCTTGCTTCAGGAGCGGGAGATCAGGCTCAAGTGAGAGTCCAACTACTCGGACGACGAGATAATCGGGTGGCTCGACCGGCAACCTCGCGGCTCCGTCATGTGCATATCGTTCGACAGCGAGGTGGGCCCTTCGACGGAGGAGAACCCAGAGCTAGCCAAGGCACTGGAGGAGTCGAACCGGCCATTCATATGGGTGATCCCGGCCCGCCGGGCGGAGGGCCAGCCCAAATGGAAAGCAGCTACTTTCCACATGGTTTGGACAGTAGAGTGGGGGAGAGGGGGCTGATCATACACGGGTGGGCGCCGCAGTTGCTGATACTGAGCCACCCCCCAACTAGTGGATGCGTGTTCCATTGCGGGTGGAATTCCCCAGTGGAGGCATTAGTGAGAGGAGTCCCGATTTTGTCGTGGCCAATCAGGGGTGACCAATACTACAACACCAAGCTGGTGGTGAATCATCTCAAGATCGGCGCTTTGGTGTGTGATGAAAACCCAGCTGAGGTGGTGAAGGATGATGTTTTTAAGGGAATTGAGCAGGTCTTGACAGACAAGAGATTCAAAGGATATGGCCGGGTCTTGGAGAGAGGTTTGAGAGGGGATTTCCTGAGAGCTCAGTGAGGTCAATGGATGCTTTTAGAGATTTTGTCAACCAGAAAACAGATTGGGCACTGTGTGCTTTGAGGTTGCCTACTTTTATGGAGGTGGAAGTTTGAATCTAGCAGAATAAAGCTACCATCAGTCTACCATTTTTCGCGATAAATGTGTTCAGGGGTCATATAGCAGTGATCCTTCAATCCCTATTTTTCCAAAGCTATTTCTGATTCGACATTAGATTTCCAAGGCTATTAATCTCTTTTCCAACACTCAGTAATACAGAGCACAGGCAAGTATCTGCAGAAGCTTTTGGAGAAAAAAGATTTACTACCAAAATTCTTCGTTAGTCTCAGAATGTACCAAACCCACAGATGCTGTACGCATGGAGAAAATTTATGAGAAGACAAATGAATTGTGCCGTGTGATTGAGAAGGTTAAGCGTAAGATAAGGATAATGATTCTTTTTGTTCCTCCCAGCAGAAAGTAACTCTACTATGGATAAGAAAAATGAGGCAGTAATCAGTACGCTTTGTCGGAATGAATAATGTGCCTTCAAAACCTGGATGGGTCATGATGATTCCGCATCCATATTGGGAACAATTGCGGATGAAAGCTCTATATGAGAGACACGAACTGCTCCGATCAGCCGTTCTGGCAACTCATCAGTAGTGTTAGCCTGCACCATGCATTACACAAATGAAGCATTAGAATTCTTTATCTTTTCCTTTTTCCTTTAATCTTGAGCAGCAAATGAAGCGTTAGATGTCCCAAAATTAAGCCCGCCAGAGCCTGCACCTCGAGCCAATAAGAAAAAACATTTGATAGATAATGCCTCCGCAACAGAACAAATATAGTTACAGACAATGGAGGCATTCTTTTCCAATCTTAGGACATCCAACATACCCTCATGATCTCACAAGAAACTATAGAGAATAATAAAACAAATTATGCTTATCGTGGTTGAGGACTTCCCCTTGTTTGCTATTTGTTTATTTCTAACGTCCTCATCTAAGTCCATCCAATGCATTGTGAATTAGCCTTTGAGCTTCGTCCAGTTAATAAAGACGTTCTAGCTCCAGTATCCCTTTTTTCAGCTGTTCGCAACATGTCATTTTCCTGAGTGCTTAATGATCCATCATTGCCGTCCTTTGTTGAGTATATTCAAGAGAAACCCAAAACGCAGCAAAGACTGGAGTAAACCCCAGACAGATGTTGAGATGGAGATGGAGACTCGGGTTAGACAGGGTAAGGAAAGGCCTAAAGGGACTAGGGAGAAAACAACACGAAAAGAGATGGAGCATCTAGAGCTCGAGAGGATTCATGTAGCCAACCCCACCGTGCGGGAAAGGCTTAGTTTTTGGTAGTTGTTTTTGTTGTCTTTCTTTCAAGGTGGCTTTAAGTTTCTCATTCCGTCATATAAATTTCCAAGAGAATCATCTTCGTTTTGAGGCTATAAATGGTAGCTAGGCCTATCACATCGATGAGGAATTACATGAGTAAGATGGTCGAAATCCAGCCCGAAAAAGCTTACAGACTAGTGCAATGCTCCTAATCTGAAGTTACATACTTTTTTCATTAACAAGGAAAACCGATTCAGATCTCTTATTGATGCGTCCCTCAAAATGAGAACCCTATTGACATATTACACAGCTATCAATATTGTATGAATATATGTCTCAGGCAGAGTAAGTACTGGGGAATATTAGCTCGAGTAAAACCAGACACTTCGCTAGCTTAGGCATTATGCTACAAGAATGTCTATGCCTGAATATTATATAATATTTCTGTGTATTTGTTATTAAGTATAGAATCAAGTCAAGTTATAATTGCCAAAAGCTTAGAACACATTTACAAGGTTTGGTTAACAACTAATGTGCTTTGGACTATATGAAAACTGCATCAAAGTGGGGACAAATCCACGACAGAAGACATACGACAGAGTTTGCACATATCATTAGCATACCTGTACAAGAAAAGCCATATCAACAACCAATGTTGTGATGACTCCGATCACAAGCCCCAAAACTCCATTAGCGACAGTAGAAGAACCAATGTCAACATCAATCTAAAAAAAGAAGAAATCATGTTAAAACCAACGGAATATCGTCAAATACACATAACCATTACATCTAAGCAAAACCAGATGACACTTTACTTCCAGGTAGTCAGGACCACGGATATAGTTGCAGTCAACTGCTTTCCCCAACAAACAAGGAGTACTACCAACACTCTGTCGAACAATCCACGAACCCTGCAAAATGAACATTACAAGTCAACATCCTCAAGAAAAAGTTTACTGCAGAAAAAGAAGAAAAGGTGAGGATCCAATTATCAGAAAAGTACTCTAGGAAATTAATAGGATTCTTACTATAAAGTGATAGATATAGGTACTGCTAGATCTTTACTTGATGGAAAGTGAAAATTATTAATTTGGAGAGAGATTTTATTACAACAATTTTCTTAGTAACATATACTAGGATGTCTCATAATCTTCTACACTAAGAAAAAGAAGCAACTTGACCAAATTGCCCAAGCATTCCCAGCACAGCAACTCAGGAACATAGTATTATCCACATAAACCTATGACAAGACATGTCTATGTGG